TCCCTAGGGGAGGTCATATCTTCAATTGCACTTTCGTGCAAGTTTATTTGGTACTTTCTTCTTGCCTAGCAGGGCCCTGGTGTTCAATAGAGTATTGGAGAAAGGTGGGAGAAATCAGGGCAATCAAAGAAGGACTTGGACCACTTTCTAAACTCAGACAGGATTGGTCTTGCTAGTTTCCTTTTGGGAACCCCTTCCTGTATTGTCCTTTCTCAAAATATGAAAAGCTAAATGTTGTTGAATACTAAAGGCCAGAGGTCTTGTTTCACCTGTAAGCCATGTGCTTTTCTGGAAGAAACACTTACCTCCTTTAAGAGCCTCAGCAAATACTTATATTTCACCCATTATGTACTAAGTACTGCGTTAGGTACTGATAGGGAAATCATGGAAACAGCTGGGCATTAGATTTTTTTCTCACATGTTAAAAAACTATCTAGTTACAGACACTAAGCATTTACATAAGTAAAGCTAACCAACAGTACAAAGCAGCATATGACAGATGTCAAGTGAAGGGAAGGGCCAAGGGTTACAGGATCTGAGTCAGGCAAGGTCCTCATGAAGCAGTTTAGTTAAGTAAGTCTTAGTGCAGATTAGCCCATTACATCACCCATGCACTTAGCAGGGCTCTGGGGAAATGGGGCACAGAAAAAGTTGGTTTTGATGGTGAGATGGACCCAGTAAGGTATACTCTAACTTTTCTGCTTTGGTCTCTCTGGAAATTCTTCAGACCTGTCCTTCTCAGAAAGCTCATTTATCCTCCATTCTTCTACCCTGACTAGGAACTCCTGTACTGGGAGTTCTGACTTAGAATGCTAGGGGAGCAGTATAAACTGGTGGTTAAGAGGGTGGTTTCAGGAGCTAGGCTGCCTGGGCTTGAATCTTGACTCTAACATTTACTGTCATCTTGGACAATTGACCTAATCATCCTGTGATATTTTTCTTATTAATAAAATTGTGATGAAATAATGCAGTCTACTTAAAAGAGTTGCTGGGATGATTAGATGAGATTAAATCATATAAAAATTCTTAGAACCATGCTAGTTTCATATTAGTTGTTCATAAAATATTTACTGAGTTTCTGTGATGTTTCAGGCACCTTTGTAGTGATGTGACACAGTAGTGGTGGGGGTTGGGGTAGAAAGGATAAAGTCCCTACAGTCTTGGCACTGTGTTAAATAAATACTGATGGGGAAGGTGTGGTTCAGTACCTTTATTCAAGGAACTGTTAATCCAATGTCCTGCTTCTAGCTCTGTCAATTCCAATTCTTAGACTGTGAATTATCACTTAGTATTATTTCATTCTTTTTTGTTTAATTAGGCAAATATTAAAGCTGTGAATTTTGTTTAACACAGTCTTTGGTCATATCTCATATATTTGATGTTGTTTTCATTATCAATATTTTCTAAGCTCTTTGCAATTTTTAAAAAGTTTTATTTATTTATTCCATGAATAAGAAAGACAGACAGAGACAGAGATTTAGCACCCCTATAGGGTATTGTTGGTGTAATCCATCCCATCTTCAGCCAGCTTGGGTCATGGGCACACACATGCCTGGTATACTCAGGGAGGTCTTGGTACAAACTAGTAACCGTGGAACTAGCAGTTAGCATAATGGCTATGTTGCTGGACTCCCATGTAGTCAACCGTGGTTTGAGTCCCGGCCCCGGTGGCTTAAAGTCACGCCGGGCGCATGTGCGTGCGCACCCAAGATCCCTAGAGGAGAATGGAGGAGAAGGGATTGTGGCGTGGCCATCCCCCCTGGGGGGTGATTTCTCTCTTCCTGTCTCTCTGTCTCTCTCTGTCTGTCTGGCGAGCGCACACGCCCTATAGCAAAAACCTCTCCAAACTAGTAACCGCATGTGAGTCTATCTTGTGAAGCTTTGCATTTTAGTGCTGTGCTGTCACCCAGCCCTCCAATTTTGGTTTTAATTTGTACCATTCATACTTTTTGGAATGTATTAAATGTTTCATGCTGATGATTGAAAATTCTCTTTGTTCTTACTGTGTGCCCAACACTATGCAGTGAGGAGGCCTATCTTGCTTGAGGAGTGCTTAGATGGGACTATAAGAAGACATGACTGGAAAAGACCACTACATTAAGGGCACTGAGTAAGTGCTAGGCTGCATGGCTTGGTATCTTCTAATGAGAAGAGATTGTAATTATTGAAAGGATAGACAGTAATGATAGGTTTATACTATTTTTAGGGAGATTAGACCAGCATCATTATTCAGAATGGCTTGAAAAAAAGGAAGAGACTAAAGGCAGGGTCGCCAGTTGGAAAATCTTTATGTTAGTGTAGGATAGTGGTTCTCAAACCTGAATGTGCATCAGAATCCTCTGGAAGGTTTGTTAGTCACAGCTTGTTGGACCCCTAACCAGAGTTTCTGATTCAGTAGCTCAATGATAGGAGCCGCAGAATTTGCATTTCTAATAAGTTTCCAGGTGATATTGATGCTGCTCTTGAAGGGACCACACTTTAACAAACATTCATCTTATAAAGACATCTTATAAAACCATTCATTTTATAAAGAACACTAGATCCCAAGTAATGGAATCCAGGCTAGAGAGAAAAAGAAAGTATGAAAAGATAATGGGAAAGAAGAAACCACAGGCCTATGGGGTTGGATATGGAGACAAAAATGACTGTAGAGTATGAAATCTAGGTGCTTTGAAGGATACAGGAATCACAGAAGCAAAACCCCAATTATCTAGACGTGGAACGCAGTCATATAATGAGTAGTAGAAAAATATGCTAGGCTATCCATCCACCTTCATTTGCACCCACCGTGGTACTCAACTTTAAAGGCCTGCTGTCTTGTCTTTAGGAGAAAACTCAAGTCTGGTCTCTCCTTTTCTAGAATGTAACCACTGAGTAGAGGAAGAAGTGAAGATAGAAAACTGGGGCTGGTAGGGGGGACAGTGTGGAGGGTAGAAGGAGCTTGAATATTCTGGAAATGGAGAACACACCTTTGAGTTAGTAAGTATTCAAGGCATATAGGAAAATACTAATAAGAAAAAGGCAAATGAGTAAAACTCAGTGAGCCATTCAGAGTATATCTAGGACACTACCTGAGTTCAATGATGCAATTCTGACCAAGAGTTTCTCAACTCCAGGCTCCTAACCTTCCCTAGTTTCAAGACTTCTGACCCTAGTGCCCTGTTGGCTTTGACTATTTCCTAGCCTACAGAAATTTCTCTTACCTGTTTTTCTCCACTGGGCTTCCTGTAGCTGAGCAAAAGCTCCACAGCACCTACCACTTCTTTGCGGATGGCATAGAGCAATGCATCACCCACATACACGCTATGGTTCAGCAATAGCTCCATGATCTCCAAGTTCTCGTTCTCAATTGCAATGAGCAGAGCACTCCGACCCAGAGGGTCCATGCAGTTGATGTTGACATTGTAGTAGATCTCAGCCTCCTGTAGGGCCTGCTTCACAGTGGCATAGTCCCCCTTCTCCACAGCATTGAGGAAAGCCTTCTCCTCTGCAGAGAGCTCTGTCTCAGCCCTCACAATTTGCAGAGGGATGCGGTCTCTGTATGGTGAATAGTTGACCTTCTTGTAGTAGAGTTGGGCCATAGTTCATAGCAATTTAGAAAGCTGAGTGAAGAAAGAGAAGACTCAAATTATTCTTAGATATCTGAAAGTCTAAAGGGGCCAGTTATAGAGGTAGACTTACCTAAGTGGTTGCAAAATCCCAAACTATTTTTTTTTTTTTTTTGGAGAGGTTTTTGCTATAGGGCGAATGCACTCGCCAGACAGACAGAGACAGACAGAGAGATAGAAAGCGAGAAATCGCCCCCCAGAGGGGATGGCCACGCCGCAATCCCTTCTCCTCCATTCTCCTCTTGGGATCTTGGGCATGCACGCACACACGCCCGGCGTGAGTTTAAGCTACCGGGTCTGGGACTCGAACTGTGGTCGACTACGTGGAAGTCCAGTGACATAGCCATTACGCTAACTGCTTGTCCCAATCCCAAACTGTTTTAATGACAAAATCTTTTTCCTATTGCAAAAGAGTTTAGTAGAAAAAACAACAAACTTTTAGGACAGAAAAACCTAGGTTCAAACCTTGGTTTTATCACTTACCAGTTCTGTGAATGGATGTTACTTAACCTCATTGTGCTCTATTTGTTATTATTAAGGTTAACAATGCTAATAATATTACTAGAAGTTATCATTCATTACTACTTACTGTGTACCATAACCTGTGCTAGAGAACAATTCCTACCTTGTAAAGCTATTATGAGGATTTAATGAGATATGTGTTAACAAAGCAACTGGCACAGGGTAAACCTCTTAAGACACTGCACAAGCTATTCCTCCCTTCCTCTCCTTTCTGCTGCCTGAAAATGTTCATGCAATAGTTCTGATTGGTGATGCAAAGTTGGCACTCATCTTTGGCCAGTTTCCTTTGGGCCCTGGCTGTGTGCGCCTGTGCTAATTTTCAAGATTACATTTGTGACTTTTCCAGATGCACATCCTGGGTTGAAATCCTGCTTTAGTGCTAATTGCAATGCTGCCTCTTGTTGCTGCTTACTGGGGAAGAGGTATTGACTCTAATAGGCCAAATAAATCTGCCAAGATAAGGTTGTATCCCCTCTTCCCATCCGTGATTTCTTCCTCCACTGTTCCAAACCAAGAAGCTAAAAGACCTGAGAATCTGTTGATTTAATTCTGAGAAGTGAATGGTCCATTTTATTTGTACCATTTCTAAAGCTATATTACATTTGATTGAATTGATTTTAAAGTAAAATCCTATTTATTGAGCTATAATGTGTTTAAACTCCTTGGGAGACCAAGAAAAAAAAGACAGTCTTTGTCTTTAATCACTTAGAATGAATCACAGTACAAAGCCCTTGCCTTGTAGTTTAAAGATCAAATTCAAGCATACTCCTCATTGATTCCTTGTACTAGTCCTGTGAGATATGAAGGATGTTCTTCCCCCAGGTGAAAAAGTGAGGCTTGGATGCCTTAGGTGATTGGTTTCCCTTTCCCTCCCATCCTTGAGGCATCCATGACCATACAGAGGTTGAGGTAGGATGGACAGATTTCAGTGTCTTTCATTACTGAACTGTTTTGTTAGCAATAGAAAATGGATATGCGATAAAGAGCCCCTTTTGTCATCTCCTAGCTATAGGAGAAGATGAAGACATGATGATTCCTCAGATATTTACCTCACTCTTCTAGGTAATTACATCCCTGCTTTGGCAGAGGGAGAAGCATAAACTATATCAAGTGGCATTCACAATTCAAGTGTTTGTGATCTTCTGGGGAGTTTGAATTAGAAAATGAGTGTTGCCTCTTGCCCTGAAAATGCCCAAATGGCAAATTTCTCTCTGGGTCCAAATCTCATGAGAGCAGGAAGCTGATTGGCTTTCTTGAGAAGTACTGGTATTTTCTTTCACTACTTTCAAGTAACTCAGGAATGGCTAAAGGAAAGCACCACTTAGAGTAAATGTTTTGTCACTAAATAGCAAATGACTTTAATAATACTAATTGTAGACTGCCTCCCTTCATCTGTAACTGTAAACAAAAAAAGGAGAGGGAAGGGATAGTGTGACCTCCTAAAGAGAGATTCAACACCCCATTCAGCTTGTATTTATATAATCAGTACAATCACGCTGAGAGTCTCCTGTATGCCTAGCACTCTTAGTCACTGTGGGGCTGGGATATGAATAAATAGGCTCCTGCTGTCATCATTTCTTATCTAGACCACTGCTACAATCTTTTAATTGATCATTCTGACTCCATTCTTTCCACTCACCCCAAGACCATCTTCTGCACAGCCTCACATTTTATCCTGCAAAACACAAATCTGATCCCATTTTATCCTTCCTTGATTAGTTTCCAGTTTATTACTATTACTATTATTATTATTATTATTATTATTATTTTTAAAGATGGGATCTTGCCATATCATGATTGTCCTGCCTCAGCCTCCCAGCTGGGACAACAGGCATGAATCACTATGCCAAGACTTTAGGCTGGATTGGGAATTGAACCTGGTCCTCCCTTGTGGTTCCAGCTTGCAGGGTACAGTGTTTTAGCAGCATGAGTCACTATGGCTGAGCCTCCTGCTTGTCTTGTGATAAAATAAACATTCTTCTAAAGTCTTAACAAAGTTTTGGCTGGTGTTTACCTCTCCAACTTTATCTTAAACCATTCTGTCAGCCTTGGCCACTACTTTTTAGCTTTGTAGAGCTTCTCGTAGTTCTTCCAACATGCCAAGCTCTTTTCAATTTCAAGACCTTTGATCATTGCCTAGAACACTATTCTGCAGTTCTTTACATCTTCCAGACTTCACCAAAAGGTCACTTCCTCAGAGAAGTCCTCACTCACCACCTTGTTTAAAACACTACCTTCATATTCTTTTCTCTGGTGTATCATATCATCTCCCTTTTTGAAACATATCATAATTTGTAGCTACATATTTCTTTGTCTTACTGAGTAATTTTCTGCCCTGTCCAATTAGCCTTAAAGTGCAACTTCAATAACTGCATCTATCCTATTTTTCTAACTCTTACACCTATTCCAGTGCCTGGCCTACTCTGAACACTTGATATCTATATGAATGAGTCAAACTTCCATGATATTTTCTTTTTATTTCTATTTCTTTTATACATTCAATCATGTTACTTAGCTTACAAAGTGAATATTTCAACATGTGTACATTTCTCACCAGTCCAGTTCACCATACTAGAAAGTTTCTTATCTCTTTATCCCACCTAAGCTCTAATGATACTGAGTTATGATCTCCAAGTTTCGCTTTATGACCATGCCTTTTCATATGGCTTCATTCCACTCTCTCCACCTTAACAAACTCCTACTCATGGTTTAGGACCTTTTTCGTAGCTCCCTCCCTTTTATAAGAGATATTTTTTCTATAGGGTGCATGTGCTTGCCAGAGAGACAAAAAGTGAGAAATCACTTCCTGTGGGGATGGCCACACCTCAGTCCTTTCTCCTCTATTCTCCTCTTGGAATCTTGAGCATGCATGTAAACACACCTGGAATGAGTTTTAAGCTGTTGGGTCTGGGACATGAGCCATGGTCCACTACATGGGAGGCCAGCGACATAACTATTACTCCATCTGCTGATCTTGTCGCCTTCTCTTGAACCCTTCCCCCCAGTACCCTCAGGAAAGTAGTTAATCTCCTTTCAAGTTTTCTACTGACATTTTGGTCACATTTCTTCAACAGTACCCAACTGCATGTTTGTCTTTCTACCCTTAGGGTAGGATTACCTTAATTTCTGCACTCCTGGTATTCACACAGGATCTGGGACATGAAGGGTAATTGATAAATGGATATTTAATGAACACATACAATCTAGCTAAGGAAAGTTGGCACAGTCATAGAATGAAATGCTAAATTAGGTGGGACTTATTTTATGCTTTGTGATTTTAGAAGGGGCTCAGTAAAGGCTTGAGATCTCAGAGAACATTTCATAGAGGAAGTATCTCTTAAGATAATCCTCAGAGGACAAATTAAATGTAAAAATGTGAGGGTATTCCACGCACTACAGTGCAAGAACAAAGGTGGTGACATTAATTATAGCCTAGTTGTCATATAGGTTGGGAGAGAAGAGGTCTATTTTTCAGACTATAATAGGATATAGGCATTAGAGGTGAGCTAAAATTCCAGGGCAATGGCCCACAACTTCAATTTTCTCATCTGAAACATAGTCTTAAAACACTTGTTTCTCATTTGTCACTTAAGAGGTTACCATGGAAAAAAAGACAGGATGTCTTTACAGATGGTATCACTGATAGTGTCAGGCTAAGCATTATTGCTAGAGGAAGAGTTGTAATCACTTTATATAAAGCATAGCTATGGAGAAGACAGGAGAAAAATGTATCCTGGGAAAAGGTGAGAACAAAGCATACTAATTCTTATCAGTGTCCTCTTATGTTTCAGACATTATGCCTGGAGCTAGGACAATAAAGATATAAAAAAATTATTATAGTCTTGAATACTTAACTGTGTGCTAGGTACCAGGCAATCAATGTACTGTCTAGCACTATTACTACTACTGCCTCTAATAATAATAATAATTAAGGCAAAAAACAGTACCTTTCATTGACTTTGCACTATGTTGCAGATGCATGGTTAGAGTAGTCAAGAGAGACAACAGTAAAATCATGGTAATTTGAGAACTGAAGTAAATATAATTGGAAACAAAACTAGTCACAATTTAATGTCATTCTTCTAGTGAATCCCACTCCTAGTATAGTCCCCCAAGCATGAAAGATTAAGAATGGTCTAACAGGCCGCCTCAGAGGGCTTATCATGTTCTTCCTTTTCTTTGTTGTAGGCCAGAGGAGTTTGTATGATGGGATTTGTGATCTTTTATAGCTTACATGATGTGTTTTAAAGAGCTAAATTGACGGGCTTGGCAGAAGGCCAGGTGCAAAGTGACCTTGCCAAATCCCTTGCCCAGATCACTGCCCAGCACAAGACTTTGTCTTTGAAGAGGAAAGCCTAGATTTCCACCTAAAAAAAAAAAATAGTGCCTTCAGAGGGACGTGGTATTTGTGCTTGGCTTGCACTGGGTGCCATGCAACATTGGAGCTTAAACAGTGGAATCCTGCACCTCTT